AGTCACGCTACTGAAGCGTTACATATAATACACATAAACACATTCGTCCTATTATATGTATAAGAATTTTAAAAAAAAACTGGTCGGATACATTTATATGTATACATTAAGGGTATACTTGGGCATCTTGTCTTTTCCCCATTTTCCTCATGCGGTTCATACCAACTACCAAAGAATTAGGAAAGCCATATCCATATGGCATATAATATATACTATATTATATAGCTTTTAATACCACTATACTATACTATACTATACTATACTATACTATACTATACTATACTATACTATAGATATTATAAGTATCTGTGCAAATTTAAATTGATTCTATCTAAATAGGTACCATTTAAAATCAATTTTTTATATCTTAAAGTAAGTACTGTGTAAAAATAATGGGCAAGTACCCATCTAGACAAAAAGTGAAAAAAAAAACGAGAAATAAAACATAAAAGTAACGGTACTTGAGTTGATTAATAATTTTATTATATTGGAATCAAGTTTTCCTTTCTCACGAATTATTGTTATTTTACAAATACTTAATCAAATGTAGATACACTAACAATCTATATATTATACATAGGTACCTAAATAATAATAGTATAGGTTAGGTACCTACTACTTTCAAACTAATAACTATTGAATATTATTTAGTATATTCAAAGTTATATTATAAGTGTGGAATTTTAAACTTTAACTAATAATGTGTAATTAAGATTTTTTGAGTYATTTTTAGAATCTTAGACAAAAAGGTATTTAAGTAAAAGTACTTTGTTATCATATTATACGAGAATTTTCGTTCGATTGTTCTATATAATATAGTATTTATTTTGGTAACGTCTTAGGTAAATTAGTAGGTATAATTAAAGTCAGCGAGGCCACTTTTACTTATCATCTTTCAAAAATGAAATCACTGAGTTATATTCTCAATAAGTCAAGGTATCGAGAAGGACGTTTGTATATATAAAAAGTTAAAAAAAATATATTCTGCAAATCAATTCATTATTTCAACATAAAAAAAAATATTTCTTAGTACTTATACTAGGATACTTATATTAAATGTATTTTTTTGTATGTATATTTTATGGTTATTAGGTAATTTACAGTTCATACAATTCTACATAGTATTATATATTCATGTATTATATTGGTATTAACATTTTTAATAATCTAAATATTTTTTAACAGTAAATTATCTTTTGTACAATAAATGTTATTATTAGGGCTGGGATTTTAATGCCCTAAAAAAATCTAAAAAATGCTAAAATGACTTAAAAAACACAAAAAATGCATTAARATTCAGGATATTAGACGTCTATTATATYGAGATGTTCAATTTTTATTATAAAATGTCGTTTTTGATTTACTTTTATAGTTTTATTAGTTAAATAACTAATTTTTAAATGGTTAAAACAAAACAGTCTCGTGACACAAATTGTAACTGTTATTTACAGAAATGTTTTAAGCATTAACATTATATTACTTATTAGTGGATATACTGTATATACTGTAGAGGGYTCACACATTAGTATGTAATTTTAAATTCATAAAAGTACTTATTTGCATACCAACAAAATTTGTTTTCAATACATTAGGCAATAGGTACAGTGTAAATAAACTATTTGACAAAAATTATTACACGTACAAAGTTCGATWTTTTTTTAAACAAGTGTGCAAGTTACTTTACTAATACTATTATACGTTCAAAAAATAGTATTGAAATTATTCAGAATTTATTGCCCATATATGCATAATTTTTGTCACATTTACATTGTGTCATATATGTGTGTATTAGTAGAAACATGTCGACACAACTATGACAGTATTTGACTTACAACTATTTGTTTCTGGTTACAACTTAAAATCAATCATGGAGTGTATACAGCTGCCCTATAATCTATATCAGGGGTGTCCAAATCACGGCTCGCGAGCCGCATGCGGCTCTCGTCACAGTCGTATGCGCCTCGCGGTCTTATTTGCAAAAACCAAAATATTTTAATTTTTTTTTGTATACATTTATAAAAAAAAAAATGTTTTTATTGTATTTATTTAAGGCTATAGTATTATAGTGTATAGAATATAGATTAATTCGAACAAAAAAAAAAATTAATTAATATGAATAATAAATGATATTTTTTTCGTGTCTACTTTTTTAGTAAGCTTCTTAAGATCTGGTTGAATTAATGTAAGAGCAGTTCTTGGTAATTCTGTAACGATATTTTGACTTAATTATTTTCATTGTTGAATAAAGTGATTCACGTGAAAACGTCGTTCCAAAAATTGATATCAATTTTATGATATCAGTTTTTAATATTTGGGTATTTTAATGTAGAAATATGCTCCAATATAGAGGAAAAATTGTTTATAAACTGCTTAAGACCTTCATCTTCTAATGACTCCAAGAGTTCTATTTCGAGATCCGCTATATTTATGACGATAGGATGTGATAATGGACATTCTTTTTCAATGACATTAACTAAAAATGGATTTTCTAAAAATCCTAATGAGAGTGTTTTATGAGACCTTTAGGTCTCGAAATCGTTCTTCGAAGTCAGTAAATAGAAATTCAAGTTTAAGTACATAGTCGTCACAATTAATTTTTATTTCTGATTCTATCAAGCACGCTTCCATTTTTTCTAAACATGAAAAGTGAGTAAAATTGTTTGATTGTAAATCTCTTATAAAAAATTTTAGTTTATTTTGAAAACTAAATACTTATTGCCCTAGGTCATTAACTAATTTATTTTGACCTTGAACAGATACATTTAATGTTGATAAATGTTGTATGATGTCAACATGCATGATGTATTGAGGTGTTTACAATAGGAMTATTCAACACAGACTACAGACTATATTAAAAACGATATAATTTCATATTTCGTAATTTGATATGTTTATTGGCTGTTTGCTATCTTTATTACTTTTGTGGTATAAAAGTACACATTAGATAATTTGGCTCTTGATATAATTTTATTAATGCATGTGGCTCGCGTACATAGTCATGTTGGCCACCCCTGATCTATATTATAATAATTATTATATAATATATTGGCCATATWTATTTAATATTATATTATATCCTGTTTCAAATATTTGTTTGAACAATCTAGTTGTGTATAAATAAAGTAACAACTTATTTACCTACAACGCGACCGTGAGGTCCATTTCCCCAGCRCCCCCACCTTCGAATTTGGAGTTGAAACCTATACCAATTGTTTGTACCTTTTGTATCTCAATTAAAAACGTTTATACCTCAACAGTCTTCAAACTATCCCTACTTCGATTTTGGGGGTGTCGGGGAAACGATAGTACACCAACCTTTGAATTGACGAGTTTAAACCCATACCAATCGTTTGTACCTCGATGGTTTTCAAATTATCCCAAATTCAAAGGTGGGGGTGCTATGGAAATGACAGCACCAGACCTCGAAACTTTTTTTGCTGCAAATYTTACAACGGATAAAAAAATYTAAGTTGAAATAAAAAATATATAATTTGATTAAAAAATATCAWTTGACTAAAAGAATCTAAGTTAATAATATAAAATATAATATAACTAAAAAATATATTATACTGGATAAAAAAAATCTTGGTTGATATAGGTTAAAAATATAATTTTATTAATAAATATTAATTWATTTAAAAACAATTCAGTTGATATAAAAAATATAGTTTTATTAAAAAGTATATTCTAATTAAAAATAATAATAATCATAGGTTCAATAAAAAAATCAAATTTGAAATATTAATCGACTTGGATTTGCTGATTCAATTTACTTAAATTTAGATTTTAA